TAAGAGGGAGTGTGAGAAAAAAGAACAGGCGTGTGGGGGGGTTGGGGGGGGGGGGGGGGTGTTGTTTTTGGGGAGGTGGGGGAATTTACTTTTGTTTGGGGGGTATTTTATTTTGGTGGGTTTTTTGTTGTTGGGAGGGGTGTTGGGTCTTGGTTTTTTGGGGGTTGGTTTTTTGGGTTTTCTTTGGTGGTTTTTTTTGTTTATTTGTTTGTTTTAATTGTAAATTAAACCAAGCCTGAAAAATCCTGCCCTAAATAGCCTGAAAATGCAGCTCAGTCAAGGACAATAAAAACTCCAAGCACCCAGATGAAGTAGCTTCAGAGGTTAAAACCCAGGATCTATCATTTGCATCATAATGCAATGGGCTGTTTTGCACAACAAAGAAAAAGTCATAAAGTTGACAGAACTATTAGCCTCTTTTGAATAGATTACAAACCCCACCATTAGCATGCAAATAAATATTTTCTAGAAGCCTTCATGGTGTGAGAAACACTTCACAGTGGGACCGTAGAGACACTATTATTCTGGTCTGGTGCTGAGCCACTTTGGGGTAGTTTCTGTATCACCTGCAAGGCTTTAGTGTCACCTGTTACAGGTGAGATCTTGGAATGGCTCCTGCATGAGGCTGTAATTCTGCACCCTCATTTCAAAACATGATTACCTTGTCTGACAGAGATGTTCGATTTTGATAACTAGATATTATTTACCTACCATTTTTGTGTATTGTACCCTACACTTTACAGAGCTGGCACTTCAAAATAGCCAAATGACCTAAAATTGCTATACTTGCACAGAATAACAATGAGGTGTACCAGCGCCTAGCAGCTGCAAAAAGACTCTTCTGCAAGTGAAGGAGTAAAACACAGTACTAGACAAAGCTGAATTGCCTGTCCATCAAGGATGAGTTGCATTGTAACATTGCCCCTCTAAACACCCACACTGGGTGGCACAGAGGTAACCAAGCACAAAATTCTCTCTGTTTCTGTTCTCTATCTCATACACACAGCAGTGGGGCACAAGGCCAGAAAAGGCCTGACCTATGCTAACCTTCATATTTGAGCCAGCTCTCCTATTTGAAACCACTAGTTTACCACTGCTCTGAACCACCAGGAGGGGAGGAATAGAAAAAGCCCAAGGCAGGATTTCCTCCTGGCACCATTCCCTTCCACGGTAGTTCACCCATCTCCTCTTTCATGGGGGAAGGGATGTAAAAAACCCTTTCATTGCCAGCAGTAGACACACTTTCAATGTTTTCAGTGAAAATCCTGTCTTTGATTCTGAATGTATAGCTCTTGCCAAAAGCAACTAAAGTTAACACATTCCAGCACAGGCTGTAGTCAGCTCTTGAATATTTTACAATTCAAACAAGCAGGTTCAATGCATAAGACTGAGCCAGGTTCAGGAGCCTGGTCACTGACGTGCTCTGTCTGCAGCATACCAGCAGCAACAGGCATTTTCTCCAGTCTAGACTTTGAGGGAGTATTGCTACCAAGGAGATAGTTAAGTTCATTTTCCACAGGACTATCCCTTCTGTTTGGGTTAAGACAAAGAAGGGTGCCAGCTGTAATAATGGGTGGTGAGCTGTGGACACCTGCTCTCTTGGCAGAAGATCAAAACCACCACTTTGCTCACACAGGCTACTAAACAGCCACCTAATGGTAATGCCATTCAGTCACCACCAATCTGAATTCACAATAATGTCCTAAAGTGAAAAGACTCCACATGTCTATATTAGCCCTCTAAGTCTATTAGCTACCTCTCCCTCCTTTATTTTGGATATTGGGTTGGAATGCTGGAAGCAAATGTCCATATAGGTAGTGTAGATTGTAACACTGACTGTGACAGATTATTAAATAAGCTATATGTTGGCAGGAGTCTATAGTGACAACATTTTTGGTTATTAACAGTTGGATACTTCTAGCCTCAAAAATTCTGAACATTTCTTGTTGTAGTTGTTTTCAAATGTTATGAAAAAAATCTTTGCTACGTATTGCAGTCATGCAGACAGGAGTGGCATTTCATTTCTCAATATCAAACATATGTGTACATTACTACCATGAAAAGAATTCAAAATTAACACTTTTTGCACTCAGACACTGCAGACAAGACACAGAATCTTCCAAAAATATACATATAGATGTTAAGCATCATTAGAATTTCACCTAAGTCTCAGAAAATTAAATCTGTAAGCAAAAAGCAACATAGTTAATACTATATTTTTCTGTCTGCGTTTAATAATATCATGCAAAAACTTGTCACAATTTCTTGTATTTCTCAGGGTAGTATATGCCCTGATTGTAGATGTATATTTTGTTTTTTGCACTGAGCAAACAGAGACAAAACTTGTTTTCAAGTCAGCATAATTATTCCCTAAGGGGTAAGAATTCTTACTTAAAATGCGCTTTAAAGACATTTGCTACCTGTGTAATTCATTGGGCCAAACACTTCACAGATGTCTTCATCTTGAAATCAACTTCAACTGGAATATTTTTAACATAATTATAACAAATAATACCAGCTAGGAAGGAGGCTTCTGCCAGAAATACAAGAGTATTCTGTCACAGTGGTGAAAATGGAGGTACAGCTTCATCTTAGCTTTTGCTGAATAAGCAACAAATTCTAAGTCCCCCCAAAATCAAAACAAAGAGAACTCTGTTGGCAACTATATCAGACTGGCTTTGTAAAAGTAAACACAGAGACTGTGTGGACTAACCCCACTGTTATTTCCATGCCATAGCAGAGAAGAGCAGGTTTGTCTCTAAAGACTCTTCCGGCATTGTTTGAGATCTCATATTTATATGTTTGTACCAAGAGTTAGGGTGCAAATTGCCTGTTTAATGAAATATATTATATCTCCTGATCAGTAAAACACACCTTTTTTTTTTTTTTTAATTACATGCAGTCCCACCCCTTTTTCAGCCTTGAGGAAGGTGGAAAAAACCCAACCAAAACAAAAAAACCCAACCATACCTGTTCTCTTGGGCACACCGAATTCTGCAGCCTTCCTTAGGTATCACCAACCCCAAATGCATCCTTAGCCGACAATTGGTGGGCCCTGTGTGGGGCCAGACATGAGTCCCCGGGTGCATGATAGAATATTTGATCTGAAAAAAGAGAAAGGCAGGCCTTCAACAGGTTCAGCTTCACAACCGTACTGCTAGGAGTTCAGGACTTCATTATGTCTCATCCTTGATGATAGGCCAAAAGTGCAACGTCACCTTTTGTTAGAGTCTCTGCAACAATTGTGCTTTCTCATGTCCTAAAGGTGTTCAATGCTACAAAAAACATGTCTTGTGAGGCATGTGTGCATCCACGGGTGTGTGTATGTAAAAGTGTATACTTTTGCGTAAAATAACTAGTATTCATCTTTCAACCTGAAAATAATTATCTCCTATCTACAGTCAGAAAAATACCTTCTTTCTTACGGAAAGACTTACAGACACTCTTATTGTTTAAAAGGATGGACCACAGGAGACAGAAGGCCTGTGTTAGCCAGGCTGACTGGCCCCTCTCAGATGACAACATGGCTGTCATGGTCACTGTCAGACTTGGCTGGAGCAACCATGAGATGGTGGAGTTCAGGATCACGAGAGGAGGGAGAAAGGCAAAAAGCAGGATTACTACCCACAGCTTCAGGAGAGCAGACTTGGGCTTATTCAGGGATCTGCTGGGAAAAATCCCATGAGATACAGTGCTGGAGAGAAGAGGGCTCTAGGACAGCTGGTTGATTTTTAAGTATCACCTCATCCAAGCTCAGGAATGGTTCATCCCGATGTGCAGGAAGCATGGCAACCCAGACAAAATTGAAAAACAAAAAGGAAGCATACAAGAGGTGGAAGCAGGTCAGGTCACCCAGGAAGACTGTAGAGACACTCTTTGAGCGTGCAAGGATGGGGTTAGGAAACTCAAAGCTCTCCTGGTGTTGAATCCAGAGATGGAAGTCAAGGGCAACAAGAAAGATTTCTACAAATACAGCAGCAGTGAAAGGAAGCCTAGGGAAAATATGGGCCTGCTGCTAAATGTGGCAGGACATGTGATGACAAAGGCCACGGAAAAGGCTGAGACACTGCTTGCCTTCTTTGCCTCAATCTCTACTGGTATGACTGACGTCCAGGAGTCCCAGGCACCTGAGGCCAGTGGAAAAGACTGGAATAAAGATGACTTACCTTCAGTAGAGAAGGATCGGGTTAGGGAACATTTAAACAAACTGGTTCATGGGTCCTGATGGGATCCACCCATGACCGCTGAGGGAGCTGGATGACATTGTGAATCCACATTCAATAATCCTTGAAAGGTCATAGCAACCAGCAGAAGTCCCTGAGGACTGGTAGAAAGCAAATCTTTTTCCTACCTTCAAGGAGGGCAAGGAGGAGGAACTATAGGCTAGTCAGCCTCACCTCGATCCCTGGGAAGGTGATGGAGCAAATAATCCTGGAAACCATTTACAAACACATGAAGGAAAAAAAGTGGTGGAGCAGTCAGCATGGATTGATGAAGGGGAAACTGTTCTTTACCAGCTTTCTATGGTGAGATGTCTAGCTTGGTGGATGAGGGGAGATTAGTGGATATTGTTCATCTCAGCTTTAGTAAGACTTTCAACACCGTCTGCCATAAACAACCTCATTAACAAACTGATGAAACAGAAACTAGGTAAGTTGACAGAGAGGTGGATTGAAAACTGGCAGTTCAGCCAGACTCAAAAGAGTTGTTATCAGAGGCACAAAGTCCAGCTGGAGGCCACTCATCAGAGGTGTGTCCCAGGGCTCAACACTGTTTAATAGCTTCACAAATGACTCAGATGATGGGACAGTGCATCCCCCTCAGCAAGTTTGTAGATGATAGAAAATAGGAAAGGAATGGCGGATACACTACTTTTTTTTTTTTGCTGCCATTCATAGGGACCTTGGCAGGCTGGAGGAAGGAGCAAACAGGAATCTTATGATGTTCAACAAAGAGAACTGTAAAGTTCTGCACTGGGGAGGAATAACCCCATGTACCGATACAAGCTGGTGGACAACTGCCTGGAAAGCAACTTCCCAGAAAAAGACTGATGTCCTCATTGACAACAATTTGAACATGAGCCAGCAATGTGCCCTTGCAGCAAAGACGGCCAACAGCCTCCAGGGCTACATTAGGGAGAGCTTTGGCAGCAGGTTGAGGGAGGTTATCTTTCCCCTCTCCTCAGAGTTAGTGAGACATCTTGAGTGCTGGGTGCAGTTTTGTGCTACCTACTATGAGAGAGACATGGACACACTGGAGCAAGTCTAGTGGAGGGCTATAAAGGTGATTAAGGGATTGGACCATCTGACATACAAGGGGAAGCTGAGAGAGCTAGGACTGCTCAGGCTGGAGAACAGAAGGCTCACGGGGGGATCTTATCAATGTGTATAAATACCTGATGGGAGGAGTGAAGAAGACGGAGGCAATCTCTTCTCAGTGGTATCCAGTGAAGGGCAAAGAGGCAATGGACACAGATTGAAATACAGGGAACTCCATTTAAACATAAGAAAACACTTTTTTTATTGTACACTGGAACAGGTTGCCCAGAGAGGCTGTAGAGTCTCTATCCTTAGAGGTATTCAAAACCTGACTGGAGACAGTCCTGAGCAACCTGCTCTAGTTCAGCATGCTTTGAGCAAGGGGTTGGACTAGGTTTTGGGGTTTAACCCCAGCCAGCAACTAAGCACCACGCAGCCGCTCACTCGCTTCCCCCCGACCCAGTGGGATGGGGGAGAGAATTGGAAGGAAAAAGGTAAAACCCATGGGTTGAGATAAGAACAGTAGGGAAGAAAGTAGTAATAATAACAATAATAAAACAACAAAAATAATAAAAGGTTTGGAATATACAAAACAAGTGATGCACAATGCAATTGCTCACCACTTGCAGACTGATGCCCAGTTAGTTCCTGAGCGGTGATACCCCCAGGCCAACTCCCCCCAGTTTATATACTGGACATGACGTCCCATGGTATGGAATACCCCTTTGGCCAGTTTGGGTCAGCTGCCCTGGCTGTGTCCCCTCCCAACTTCTTGTGCCCCTCCAGCCTTCTTGCTGGCTGGGCATGAGAAGCTGAAAAATCCTTGACTTAGTCTAAACACTACTTAGCAACAACTGAAAACATCAGTGTGTTATCAACGTTCTTCTCACACTAAAATCCCAAACACAGCACTGTACCAGCTACTAGGAAGAAAACTAACTCTATCCCAGCTAAAACCAGGACATTAGGTAATCTCCAGACATCCCTCCCTTCTCATCTCAACCTTTCTGTGATTCTACAGCAACCCAACGAACAGGAAGTGTGAATAATGCACGACAGTGGCGAGAAGCGTCTTTTCAACGGAGAAATCTGCACATCTGACTGGGATAGGGTAACTTTGATAAATCTTAGGGTTTAAGGTGTTGCTTGCTCTCCAACTGTAACGAAATCAGCAGAAGACAGTGTGTGTCTAATGCCTTAGCTGTTCCCACCATCTTAGGTTTCAGCTTACCAGCACTTTCTTATGACAGCAAGTGATAAGCTCCAGTGGCCGTGGTGAGCACAGATGCTCCAACCCACCACTTCTGCTACACCAAGATGTGTTAACTACCGACAAGTTATACTATGGTTGTAAAGTAAAATTCCAAAGAGTTAAGAAATGCCCAGAATTACAACTGCCTGTGCTACTTTTAGTTTACTGTTAAGAACGACATAATTTTTAACAATATGATCACTTGCTATTGTTCTACACAGTCTCTCAGCAGCATTGAGCAGGTTGTGAATATTTTACGTTTCTTTTTATCTTTGTCAATACACAAGGTGCCCAAAGCATCCAAAGGGTCTATCTACCACAGAATTCCTGATTTCCTGATTATGTTTGTTCCCACTGCTTCCAAGTGCTTCAGTACATGAATAGAGATTAGGTGATATTTTTAATTTAATTTACCGGTAAGAATCTGAGACATGGCTAGCAAAAGACCAAAATTGTCCTAGGCATCCCCTAATAACTGGACGTAAAATGGAAGACTTCTAGAGCACTATTTTTCACACTGTTTTACATTTTATATGTTCAAAACACATAACTACAGCTATAGTGGTGAATACACAATGCTTCCACAAACGACGTCCTGGTGACAACATGTGTGTTGCCAAAAAATAACGAACAGAACAGTAGCTGTCAAAGAAAATTTGCTCTCTGGGATAGATCCATTTTGGCTGTGGATGCCACAGAAAGCAGTTTTCTTGCTGTTAGCCACACTGAGCAGGATGACCTCTCTCATCAGTTATATTTACTACAACTAGCTTTTGCAACAAATCAATGAAACAATAGCCTTGTTCATTCCCACAACAGTAGCCATCTAGTGCAATTCTGCACATCAAAAGAAAGAGTCTGGTCAAAAAGCTGGACACCTACTCTCAAGGCTCTGAATTAGGATTATGCTAGCACTGTGTTTTCCAATTTTTGCATCCTTAATTTTGGAACGTGAAGGTTATTCTCATGTAGTCATTACAGATAAAATATAATAACTTAAAAAAGAAAAAAAAAGAATAATGAAAAATTCTGTCCTACAGAATCACATGATATCTGTATTGGGCCATTCATTCATCTGTGTATGTATTGATCCATACCATACAAGTCTACTGCATGATTTAATGAGGTTAATATGTAGCTGAGTAGTCAGTACACCAGGCACAAGAAACAAACTTTGTTGGCATGCAAGGCCACAGCCTATAGATGTAAAATTTCCTTCCTTAACCTTTAGGAAAGAAGCATGTGACAGCAGTACTGTTGTTTGGCTTCCATGAGGTAGGTGATTCTCCTTCAGTGTAATGCAGTCAGGCTGGGGTAGGTGGTGAAGTTTATCACAGTGTGCTCACTGGCTCAGTGTAGTAGTCTTGTAAAGTTAAGTTCAGTCAAGAGTAATTATAGGAAAATTCAGGTTAGAAAGGCCCTAATTCAACCTCCTGCTCAAAGCATGGTTAGCTGTGAGTCAGACCAGGTCACTTAGGGCTGAGGTTTAGTAAATTGTTACTTATTGGTTGACCCATGGCAAATAAGTACTTACCTACCACAAGCTCCCAGTGAACACAAAGTAAAATGGCTCAAACTAAAGATTATATAGAAAGGCTTCAGCTAACATTTTACCTTGTATTTGCCGAGGGGTAAAATTTGGCAAATTTTTAACTGTTAACTTCATTGTGTGCTTGAGGCATCATTAAATATACCAAGGTCACGCATCCCTCTATATATGTTCCTCAAAACCACCTGCTCCCAGCATTAGGAATTTGCAAAAATGAAGTTTGCCAGGTACCTGCCCTCTTCTGCAGCCAGTAGCTTCTGGGAATCTTTCCAATAAAGCACATGTTTTTGGAACACTTTTACAAGCATTCTCATTTTTTCTTCCTAGTGAAAATAATGGATAGAGCATTGGTAAGAGCAATGAACAAACATTTCCTTGTTTTCTGCTTTGCAGAAGAGCAACAAAGCTGTGAAAGAGCTGACACTGAAAGACAGGTAAATACTATTATTATTCCCATTTTACAGATTGTGAAACAGAAGTACTTACACGTTGTAATATCAGAGCAGCCTGCACATCTTTGCTTTTAAATTATTTGTGAAGACCAGGCTTTCTACCATTTTTTAAACATGATTCTAAAAGTATAATCATTAATAAGGCTGCATAGAAAAAAGATGAAAAATGCCACCAACATCATACCATTTCAACACCAGATTATATTTTGATATAAGTTGCTTTTAATACTTTATTTTACAGTACTCTTTCATATGCAGAGTCTATAAGAATTTAAGGTCATTCCAGTAGTTGCACCTCCCACTGCACAGCTCAGGTACAGGGCAGCACGCTTATTAAAGTCACATTCTTTTGCTCATACCATGTCTGAATGATAGATCTCACCTAGCCGACAACACAATATTGAGGATGCACCTTCTCCCACGTTCCCGTCTTCCCTCAGGCTGATCAGTACTATGCATTACCATGCAAAATGTTGGCAGCCTTGCCAGAAGAGGAGTATTACCCTCAAGGGATTCTTAGAAGTGCTTGGGGACAACAAGTTTTTGAATAACAAACTCTTGTTCACTGTTGCAGGTGTCCCAGACACTATTTTATTAGTTCCCTTCTTCTGCAGATTCAGTGATTACAAAAACGGTTCTGGAAAAAAAATGTGTTGCTACTCCTTATTACACTATATTAATCTGAGATAGTGAAATCGGAGAAAGAGAAGAAATACAAAATGTATTACCTTGTTGCCATAAGGTAAACTGGCTCCAGTCTCCTTTTTCTCGTAGATTCTCATCTTCAGGCAGGAAGAGGCTTCTTTTTTTATCCATCACAGCAAGCCCCTCATCCCGAATGAGCTTCCAATTTTTTTCTAAGGACTGTTTAGAGAGCCATATTACTGCACTGAGAACTTACTGCATTTGGTTTTAGTGCTGTTTTTATTTTTCGCTGCCACTATTAACTTTTTTTTAATTTAAAAGCACTAAAAAAGTGTTCATCATCATTATCAAGTTTCTTTATATTCAATTCCCTTCTGACACGTTAAGGCAAGAAAGAGAACTTTCACAGCATTCCTCAGATTCAATTACATTGGGATCATAAAATTTCAATAATCCCCAGCCTCTTTGCAGGCTAGGCCTCACTTTGACTTGTTTTTTGATTAGCTTAAGGGCTCTTTAACAGATCATTTTGTGTTGCAAGCTAGGAAGAGTATTGATCTTCTTAAAGACAACACATGTTACCTGGAAGCACTCCTGTGACCAGAAAACCACTTGCATAACCTGGAACTCCAGGTGTTGACAGAACATCACAGATCAAAGAGTACAAATGTAAACAGGCCACTTAAATTGACAGTAATGATTTAAACCTTCAAAAAGGTTTGCAAAGATTCACTTGCACATGCTGATGCTATTGAAAAAGATCAAATACGACTTGAAATGTCAGGTGATGATCTATGGACACAACCATTAAAAATGTGTAAGCTGCCTTGTATTTCATACATACCAAAACCACAAAATAGTAGAATTAAAATTTCTGTTCTCTGCTGCCTTAGGACATTATATTTGTAAAAATCAGATAGATTAGAAAACCTTTTATTCTACTAATAATAAATCTTTTTAATGTTATAGCAATATAAATGAAAACCCAACAGCATAACAATGGATCTGGATAAAAGTAAATTCCATTTCCCAGGCACGCACTTTGCTCACTAAACCTTATTTTGGGTGAATGGTTTTCATTTCTCCTCTGTGCTCTTGAATAAAGCGTTTCTGTAAGATATTTTCAATTTCACACTGCAAATAGGCTAAGGTGTGTTTGCACTACCTCTTTATATGATGTATAAAGCTGAGTAAAACTCAAAAGTCTGTATAACACAGATCAGACTAGGTGATATAACTGCCCCTCTTTAGTCTTAAAACTCCATGTGGTTATTAGCCTTCCCCATTTAAATTAAACAGTTGCATTTTCTACTTGAGTTTTTTCAATTAAAAGACAAGCTGATCCCACAAAATAGGTAGTACGTTGCTATATCACAAAAGGCTCAGCAAAGCAAGCCATGGCTAGAACATGCTGTCTATACTACAGTGACTTTCTCCCACTAGAACATTTTTAGGTAGGCTATGAAAATTAGGATTGCACTTCTGTTATTACAGTAATCTCTTCTTCTCCTAGCAAATTGTTTTCTCTCTCATCCATCAGTAAAGGAGAAGAGCACTTATTTTTCCTGGTGCGTTCACCTTATTCTCTCCCACTGATGGGTTTCCATAACACTCATTTAACAGTTAACATTAAGTAGAAATGTTTTTTGAGAACATCTTTCAAAAACTGAGTTTTCCAAAATGCAGCGTAGAACACAGACTGAAAATTTCCACCTAATCAGGGATGAATATGGGAACAGTGCTGGTACTGACTGCACTACCTTATCTACAACAGGAAATACCAGCTTGAGAACCTGATTTTGCACTGGCTGGAGAAGAGAAAGAAAAGAATAACTTACATTTACACCGGCCTCAATTTAAAGTGATATATCAACAAAACTGGAAAACTTTAAAAGATACTACAAGTGCTCCTCTGTTTCCTCAAACTCCTCCTACTCTCTCATCTGAAAATAGGTAAGAGGGAGCATTCACCCATGCAGACAAGATGACGCATGGAAGAGCACTGGTGGTCCAAGGCATTGCAGGCAACAGCTGCTTTGTTACCTCTAATCCTTCACAAGTGCCACAGGCTGAAAGTTAACATGCAAAGGTGGGTGTTTGCCCTTCCCTTTTAAGGGTCCTTCCACAACATGTTGGATACAAAGTGATTTGAATACATATAATTGATTTTGAACTAACTCCTTAATGGTTTTAGACATAACTTGCCCTGAAATCAATAATGTCTCTGTACTCCTGAAAACCTGGACCCCATCTATAAAACATGCTGATAGTGCTTTACTATGAGTAATAGGTAACTCTTAGGTAGAAATGAAGTGGGGAGTTCAAACACAGCTCAGCCTTGATCTCCCTGATTTTACAGACTCTTAGGTATACCTTGAACGGTAAGAATGCAAAACACTATTAAAATATAACGACTAAGTCCAGGACTTGAACTTATGGCTCTTGATATGAGTTGGTATCTACAGAATAAAGTTAAATATGCTTATGCTCCATGATATGTAGGGATTCAAGCCTCAGGTTAGAGCAACAAATTCATATTATATTTGATGCAATATCCTGATTCCAAGTGAAGAATCAGGTGGTGACCAGCACTGCGAGCATATGTACTTGTTTCCTAGCAGCTAATTCCCATAAACCTCCATATGGCTTTGTAAATACAATTCCTAACAATAATGGAAGTTTACAGTTGCTTTACATCTGGCAATAGTGTAGATTTTACTGGCAAAGACATTACTATATTTAAATAGGGATTTCTTAATATCGGTATATTTTTACATGTAACTATGATAGTAAAAGAATCCTTACTCTGTGCTGTCAAACCCTTTCAGTGCACAGTCATAAATGAAACAGGCAGAGATTAAGAGGTTACTACTCCTCTGTGAGGCATAACTTCTGACCACATGTCCATTTTAATCCATTGGACTATAAAATAAAATCATGCTGAAGACTTTATTTCATTTTGTTATTGAAACAGAGTAGGAGAGTATTCACGATCCGTTACTCTGTCTCCGCTGGGGAACGCTGATGACCTCCAAGTAAGGGGCAGTATTTTAAACCTTTCAAAATAGATTCTTTGCACCCATTCAGTCATTCTCAGTGCTTAAACATCAGCACTTGTAGGCATCATCTCTGCTCTTTTCAACAGAAGGCTCCCCTTAAAACATCTAGCCACAGTTAAAATGCACATTTCAATTTAATTTCTCCATTCAATATGAATGTTTAGCTATTATTAGCTAAACCATTAAGCCCTAGCTGTCATTCTACAGAAAATGTCATGGATATGTGCTGTGCTTTCTTTCTCTTTCTGTGATTTTCTTCCTGCACTTGAAACTTTTAATCAATAAAATCTAAGCCATCAAACTGACAATACAAGCTCTACTTTAATCAATCAGTTATTCACTGTAGTACATTATTGGCAAAGCATCCTCTGGGTCCTTTCCGAAAGTCAAAGGATACAACATAAGGAAAGGACAAAGTTACATAGGTCATTACCTATGTATTAATTTCAGACTGGTGAAAAGTCTCTAGGATCCAATAGCATTGTACCTCTTTTATTATTTTTTTAAACAAGCACCAGAACAGAAGAATAATGCTATTGTGAGGTTCTACAAGAGGTACCAGAGAATAACGTAATAACTCAGTAAGATTGTCCATGGCAAGCTAATTGCCCCAAGGGAGGAGGACAGGTTTTCAAAGATAAAAGTAAGGTTTCCTTTTAGCTGAGCTCAAACAAGAAAGAGTTTGTTGAATCTCCAAATCCAAAGGCCTGAAATACTGTAGACCAGAAACATTAACAGAGTATTTCTACATAAATCACTTGACACACTCTTCCTAATTTAAAGGCTTACGTTTTCTGCTCCCTGAGAAATCAGGTGCCCCTTCCTATTCTTCAAAGAAACTACAAAAAATTAAGCATTAACACGCAGCAGCTAAAGGCATGCAAAGATCCACTTCCCTTTGGCACAGCAGCACTAACCAGGATTTACCACCATAATACACATCCTGTCATCCTGTTAAGTGTTGTTGAGATATTCTGTCTTTTTTTTTTTTTTTTTTTTTAAAGTAACTAAAACCCCCCTCTTTCTTAAGACATCCAGGCAAGTCGGTAATAGTGAAGTAAATAAAGTATGAGATTTTCTTTAATCTAACCCATCAGGCAGTTAAACATCAGGCCTAAATTAGTTGTCTAGGCCTTGTTTTTTAGTAAAGCAGTAGGAAAGTTAACACCAGAAAGGAAGACATGCCATCCTTAGATAGCTATTTAACACAGTAAAAATTAATGATCCTCTGGAAATACTCTTTTTTGACCTGTAAACTAGACCACTAGCATAGACAATATGCCTCGTGTCCTTATGGCTACAGTTAGGTGAGCTGAACGCCCCTCAGAAGGAATTTATTGAACTGGGAATACCAAAAAAAGACAATTTTTTCTTCAGGTTTTCTGTGGAAAAAGCAAGGCACTGTCAAAATTCACATCTCCATCTCCAGTCCCAAGAAACCAAATGACCCTTCATAAAAAAAAATCAAGCCAGGTCTGTGCTACAAGATGCTACTTATAGCTGTGCTGGTTAGTTGAATGAACCAAAAAGAGCTGCCAGTGTGGCTTTAGCACTGTCTCAGTTAGCCACAAATAAATCCTCCGTTAGCATTGTTAAGCTATCAAGATATTGAAAATAGCTTGTTCACATTTAACAACAAATGGTGAAACACAGGGAGAGAAGGCCAGGGCCGCCAGTGTGTTGCCCTTCATACAGCAGTTTTCCATATCAAACTCTATCATTGGGGATTTGGTAGCATTTCCCACACATCCCGCACAGATGTAAGAACGTAACAAGATGAAGCAGTCAGAAATAACTGCTGATTGGTTTTTGCTCTGTGGAATGGGGAAATAATGTTTTTTTTAGCTAAAACATGTACAGAAGTTGGAATATTTTAGAAATTAATAAAACCAATGTCTTCAATGATTTTTTTGCCACTTTCTGGAGAATACTACTACAAATTTTGCTTGCAGCATTGTATGTTATTAGAATCAAGTCTGCTTTCTTTCAAAACTCCAAGTACTTTCTTGAGTTATGGGGGAAACACAACAATACAAATATTTTTCCTGACGCATGTAACTTATATTTTGGGTTTATACTTTCAAATGTGAACATTATCTTGAAGAATTTAAATCTTACCACCCCCAAATTATGATACCTATGTAAGTAAATTAGCAGCCACAATTTAGTCCAGATGCAATGACATATTGCTAATAAAACAGCTTAAAAAAAACCCCCACAAAATTATTGGATTGAAGAGGTATGAGTGGATTTCAGAGAGGCAGTTGTGCTGTGGAGGTCAGGGCGGAATTTCTGTCCTCGTTGGTCATCTGAATGGCTCTTCTAGCAGTCATCCAGGATGCTGATCCAAGCCAAGACTGCCATATACAGTCCAATCAATCTGAAAAAATCCCTTCAAGGTGGAGCCCTGGCCGTTTTATAACAGGAAACCGAATTCTTTCATCATTCAGAGCCGACTTGTCTCCTCATGCCAAATGTGAAGGGACCATTACCTTCTGTGACTCAGGAATTTGAGTGGTTTACATATAAGGGACTGTAAAACATCACTGCAGATAGCTCTAAAACATCAATAAAATAATATAATCTTTCCTTTTTGTTTGGCAAAAGTATGATAAGAAGTTCCCAGTTTCTCCATCTTCTTTATGGCAAAGAGTATCTATTCCTACACATTCCTCAAGAATGAGTTCAATACATGTACATTTCAAATCTTCCCAAACACTAGTCCATAAAGTTAATTGCTTTTTTTGTGTGACTGAGATTACACTGGAGAATCACACTTTAATCTAAATTTCCTAGCCTTATTCATGCTGCCATCAAAAGCATAACAAGGAGTAATCTTCCTTTTTTAATTTCTTTCTTTCTGTTTTTTTTTTTTTTAATAAAATCATCCTTTCATAGTAGGTTATTTGACATGTTATGTAACTAAGTATAATGAAACAACCACTCTGAAGGAACCTGTCTCTTGCAAATAAACATTTATGGTTTTAAATTGTTTGTGCAGAATAATTTTGCTAAACTACATACCAATAATTAAAACATACAGGGGAAAAAAAAAGGTTCTTCACCCCTTTTAAATTTTTTTAGGAATTATGTTTAAAATTATTAAAATAATAAAAATTATGCTATTTTTGAAACACAACTATTATTATGAATAATAACCAGACTACTTGTCTTGCATTACATGAAAAGAGAACTTTAAAGAACTTAAATTATATGTTGTTATCTTTTGCTAAATCCGTCACTGGGAGTCTACACTTGTTTCTCTTATGCAATTAAAAGCTTCCAAAGAAGTCACCAACTATTACACAAGGGATGAAGGAAACAGCCTTTCCTAACTAATTAAAATTTCACAATGGGTGTCCCAGACATTACCAACGTTTGCTGTCATTCTGCACTTGAGACATTACAGTTGTCTACCATGCAAATTTTTTATTTATTAATCATTTAAGCCATCCTGACCCCATTCTCAATTTTGAAAATGCCTGAGCTCTTTTTATATCTTAGTTAAATCTTGTTCTCAGTCTGAGATTGGTATCTGGTACTCACAGATTCAGACTTCATAGATGAGAATTTTCTCTGCTTAATACCTTAGATTATAGTTGCTACTAAAAAAAATAAAATCGAAGTATACAGAAACAAACTGCCTTACCTTCACCAGTTCCGTATAACCAGTCTCCCTTGCTGTCCACCAAGGTTGAGCTTTCAGTCCCTTGACATTGTAAAGGGAGCGTTGCCAAACTGATGCAAAGTGACCTCTTTGGTATCCAAGTTCATACCACTTGTATGCCTAAAAGATTGCAGTTGTTAACAACCTAATTCATACCAGCCAACTCCCACAGAAAAAAGATAACTTATGCTTTTTTGGTAAGGTAACAGACTGTCTGTTTGGATGCCAGGGTTATTCTTCTAATGTAATGCAGTAACGAACATTTCAAGGAAAAGAAAACCACAAACAAACCCCCCAATCCCCAACTAACAATCCCAAAATAGATCAGATGGCCGAGGCTGTCCAATCCAACATTAGCAAAACAGGATTATTTTCTCATAAGCATTGACAGTAAATATGGGTCAGTAATCTAGGTGCTGTCCTTGGACTTGGAAGATCAGATTGTTTGTCATCTCAGTCAATCTTGTTTTTTCTATGTTTCAATGTGCTAGCTATGAATTAAAGATTATCATCTTTAATGATGCTGCCAATGGAGATGCTGTAATGATGAAAACAGTGCTGACTTTGTGGATCTAAATTGTTACATAATTATCTAATACGTATATACACTTGAGTTTCTTCAAATATTTGTTGCCACACCAGAATTGAGCTGAAGCTACTAATTTTTCTTGTCTCTTTCCTTTACTTCACATGGTAGAAACCTACTGAGGCTAATACCAGACTTTGTTTGTCTTACTCTCCCTTTCCACAATTTGCTTTACCACCGTATAGCATCAAAACGAGGTCCTGCAAAGGAAGAAAATGGGCTGCTTGGAAAGAAAAGATCCAGCACTGTGATGAACCATATACACAGAAGGCTACCTATAGCTGCCTCCTTCCTGTTCAGCATTGCTGCTACAGCTGCAATATTTTAGACAAGACAAAAAAAAAAGAATATGACAGGACAACTAAGTAGGGAAATATGAGGTAAGAAGTCCAGAGCAGAGGGACTGAAGCAGGCAGCAATCCCTGTCTTGAACAGAAACCATCCAATTCACCTCTGCCTAAGCATCACTCATCCAAACTTGGACCATGTTCTCACACTCCTTCACCCAACCTGATATTTATTCTTATCTTATGCTACATAGAACAGCCTATAATTTCACCCTTATGCTTCCAGTTAATAATGCTCCCCCTACACCTCAGGATTAGCTGCCTTCCCGGGCTGTACCCACCTCCTTGTCAAGTTGTCCTCAAAAAAACCAAACCCTCCACTTTTCTTTCCAGCAAGAATACAGAAAATCTGCTGTGCTGGTTTTGGCTGGGATAGAGTTAATTTTCTTCACAGTAGCTGGTATGGGGCTATGTTTTGGATTTGTGCTGGGAACAGTGTTGATAACACAGGTACTGCTGAGCAGTGCTGACACAGCATCAAGGCCTTTTCTGCTTCTCACCCCACCCCACCAGCGAGGAGGCTGGGGGGGCACAAGGGGTTGGGAGGGGACACAGCTGGGACAGCTGACCCCCACTGACCCAACAGATATTCCAGACCATATGACGTCATGCTCAGCACATAAAGCTGGGGCAAGAAGGACGAAGGGTGGGACATTTGGAGTGATGGCGTTTGTCTTCCCAAGTCACCGTTAGGCGTGACGGAGCCCTGCTTTCCTGGAGATGGCTGAACACCTGCCTGCCCATGGGAAGTGGTGAATGAATTCCTTGTTTTGCTGTGCTTGCGTGTGTGGCTTTTGCTTTCCCTATTAAACTGTCTTTATCTCAACCCATGAGTTTTCTCACTTTTTTCCTCACTTCTGATTCTCTCCCCCATCCCACTAAGGGGGAGTGAGCGGGCGGCTGCGTGGGGCTTAGTTGCCGGCTGGGGTTAAACCGTGACATCTGGACAAAATGAACACTGTCCCCAGTAGCATTCTGGTATGGTAGTCTCCCCGCACAACTATTTTAATTGTTATTTGTTTTTCAAAGAGAATCATTTCTCCTATTCTACCTCACGACCATATGACAGTTGTCCATCAATCTGCCCACATTTGACATGAAGGCTAAACCAAAAGACTTATTAAAATGAAACCCACAGTACTAACTCTTAAGCTAAAGAAGAAACATTTTATATATGCGGTCTAATGGAAAGCAAAACATGCAATCAAATAAACATATCTGTAGGAGAACAATTCATGTCAGCTTATTATTTATGTTTACCTTGAAGCCAGTAAACTAGAAGGGAAAACAAAACTTTTTTGGATACAAATCAGCCATGAGAACAGTGTGTGACTTACTAAGACTTACTTATTCTTAGCAGTTAGTCAAGAAAACAGAAAGATATTGGAAATTCTTCATGTAATGGATTATTTCTAAAAATTTCGAGGTGTCATCTTAGAGATCTTTCTTTTGAGATACAAGGTAAGAAATTAGTTTGGGCGGTTTTGTCTTCAAATTTTTACATAAGTCTCTATATTATAACCACAGATTATTTTTTGAGAGTCTGTAAGTTTTCTTCAAGCTTTTAAAAAATGTGGTGCTTTGATCTTTATAATTCTTTTGAATTATGGAGGAAAGACCACAATAGAATGTTGCCTTACAGTATTTATCTGAAGTACAGAAAAACAGTGTGGATGAACAGAATAACAGCAGACCATATGTAAGCTTTCATCTTTTTTTCCCTAGAAAAGCTTTGTAAAATTGTGTATGGGTCAAAAAAAAAAAATTTGTGTATTACCTTTGGGTAATACACAGTATATCTTTAAATTTTGATGTTATCTTGGTTAAGTTTCTGAAATGGAAGCATTATGATTTATAACGTATGTTCCCCAAGATGTAAGTTGTAATAGCAATGGAATATCAATAGATCATTCATGCTGACTGCCTGCATTCATTTGCAATGTCTGGAGTTAGCCCAAATGATAAGGGGGATGAATTACTTGTTTCAGCCACGGACTGATGAGTATGAATGTTGATGCTCTTTAAGATCCATCAGCTGTAATCACGATGTATAATACTGTTAATCCTTATCTAATAGAAGGATTGTGCTATGAGGTTGCCTTTGACAGCATGGAGTAGGGTTAGGTTGTCTTGCTCATCCTTTCCAGTCCTGAGTTTCCATCAGAAACCTTTCTTTTGACATGCGGATCTTGGCAGTGGAAAGACTAACTAATGACCACTGTACTATTCAGGACAGCTACAACAGTAGTATAGCTTCTTTTCCAGGAAAGTAATTGTTTGAGATGCACTCAGTTTATATATTCTGTGTGAGCAGCACTTTGTTCTATAATACCTTCCACAGCTCTAATTTATCTTTTTTTAAGTCAATTTGGCACTTTATCAAATTATAGCTGGAAAGGGCATACTCAACAATGTTTCCCTAACACTTACCAAGACCACATTCATAATGCCTAATTTATCTTTAATAGATGAATATCTACCTTCAACAAACCTTCAGTGGTAGCAATTTCACATGTTCCTTAAATATTGATCAGTTTCCTTGATTAAATCTTGAAGTTCAGCAAGTCTAGCAAGGTCAGTAAGAAAAATTTAGCTTAACAGTGGACTTTCCACTGATAAATTTAAAAGTCTCCTCTATGCCAACAAGTTCATTTGTCATTGATTAAAACTTTTTCTACAACAGATTTGACCACTAACTCCATAAACATTAACACATAGTTATCCTGGGGAATGGGATGATATACATTAATTACATCTGTGTGGTATCTTTAGTCAAATGTTGTAATGGGATGCTCTAGGTTCAATCATTCAACCCAGAATATCCCACGGAAGCATACAAGGATTTCCTTTTTGGAAAATCTCACTTGTAAATGAACTTCTAAATTCAAAAAACTTCATTGGAAGAATAATTTATTGTACCTTCAGAAAAGACAATCTACCTTAAAGAACCACAGATATTATTACATTTCATTGTATGTATAAAGTATTGTAATAAAAGTTCCATGATTTATAAAAAAAGAAAATTAACCTCAACTAGGCTTAAGAAAGATCACTAACATAGGCTTCATTATAGTCCACATGTCTATAGTTGATATTGGAGAACTGCCTACCGACTGGGCCAAGATACTCAAGAGGTCAACATTCTTTACAATATTTTAGGTATCAATATTTCAGAACTATTACTAGATAACTGATTGAAAAGCAGGTCCACTATGCTTTTTTATTCTTATTCTTTTCCCATTTCCCATCCAGGAATAGGGTTTTTTGGTTTGTTTTTAAATTCATGCCCATAGTAAAGTTCGTTACTAATAACAGTCTTCAACAAAAGCCCTTTGCTCCCCTACCATGGCAATAATGCTAATTCACACATTTAAATTTGGCTTTTACATTAAATTTGGTTTTAAATTAACAAATTGGAAACTCATGGTTTTCAGTTGCATATGTTTGCTTTTGCTGGGCATGCAACAGATTTGTTGCACAAATTTCTGCTTTTCTGATCTGTTTGGTACTTTAATTATTGAACAAATACAGTAACTCAGCCCAGACATTCAGTCTTCTCATGGTCTCCTTTTATCACATACTCGTTGGTGCTCAAGGTCACTTTGAGAAAGAAGGGAGGTTTACAAAACACTCTTATATCAGAGCTATGAGATAACTTCAGTACAGCGATATACATGTAATTGGGTTTTTTAACTCTGGTTAAAATCTTTGTTGTAAGTGGTGGAAGCAGAAAACAGACTCTAAAAACACCTTCACTGAATTTTTGAAAAATGTTTGGTCCCTCGGTTCAAACTGCCCCATGCAAGCTTCAAAAGTTTAGGTTAGTTCTAAAGCAAGGAATGCTAAGAGACTGTATTGTCATACCAGTGGCAGATTTTTTGCTGTTGCTCATCTTGACCTCTACACACATATGCTGGCTTGTTACTGTAATAGGACTACTCATGCTTTCAACATTGAGCCTGTGCTTAAAAGTTTTTTTGGATTTTGCAGTCCATCAGAGGTTTAGACTTTAAAGCAAGAACATGTTAAATGTGTACCTCTTTGTCTCCCATTCTCTGCAAGGCATCACCCAGATGAAAATAAAAGCGTCCATCATTTGTGCCAGGGTCACCAGACTCTAGTCCTTCCTAAAAAAAAAAAAAAAAAAAAAAGTATAAGGGAAACTTCAATAGGACTTCTAAAAGTTCATTTGATTGCTCTAAATAGGCTGCCAACTCTATGCAAGAGACAGGCTATGAAGTTGGCTATAAAACATAACCACCACGGTAACCCAGAACTTAGGCTGAATGAATATAACATTTCAGTAAAAAGCCATTGAGAAACATTACCAGTTTTCCAAATGCCATGACCTCTTTCCTCAGTCCCTCCAGGACAGAGGCATATTCAGAGATGGACACTTGCCCCTGGCCCTATATACCTATACAAGCATTTTAGAAAGCTGGATTAAGGTTTCATTTTGTGTTATTTCTTCCCAAACACTCAGAAGTAAACACAAGGCCCCTCTGGATTTTTCAAGAGCCTTAAGTTTGCAGTATACTGCCAAACTCAGAACAATTTGAGACTCATAGCTGTGTACTTAGGGTTAACCACTAATAAAACAAATACTTGATGTTTAAGAACTGATGACTCTCAATGTACAAGCTTGCTCCAGTTCATAGGCAGTGATATAGCAATATAACGCCAACACATAGCTTAAACTGTGATTTTCTTATTAGTATGCTTCTACCTTGACATGTTTTATACATTCAAATTTTATTTTTTACAGGTAAAATATTTACTGTAGGTGAGAAAAGAAAAATACCTTTAGATAGGGTATGCTCTCTGCTATCTTGTTTTCTGCCTTCAGGATGAAGCCATAATGTACTTTGGCAAAGCCATCATTTGGAGCCAGGCTTAGAACCTGTTTGAGAGTAAATGAATTAAATACTCATGTATGGATCTATGCAAATTAACAAACCTGTGCACATATTACTATTTAGTCATGCAATGACATTTTCTTCCGTTGTTGACTCTCAGATAAATTCTTGGCTTGGCTGTACTTTCTTTTCCCCATTCACTTTTGTGCTTCTCCAGAAAAATCTATTACAAGCCAAAATTTAAAGTATCAGAAGTAAAATTAATCCACCTGGAATCTCTGAATTGCATTATTTTTTTGTTGTCTGTCTTTCTCCACCCTCTCTCTTGAGTTACGGCATCCTACATTACAGAATTAACACCATTCCTTAACATTTAAGTTACATATCTCATGTTTGACTAATCTGAAGGAAAGGAGCTGCTTTTGAACAAGCCTACAGCACAGTCATGGGAAGTGTAGTGTAGAATTATACCTGCAATAGTTTAAAGCCAGATAGGTTTATACTGGTGGCAAACTAGTCTTGGCAAGAGAAGATATACTACGCTGTGAAGCAGAGTGAGTACTGTTGAGGAAGATGCTGTAAAATAATGCCTGCATGACATAATGGGACTGCACAGACCCTGGGAACGCAAAGGGCATTCTCAGCACTACGGTGAACTGGAGCACTCTCTGGAAGAGCTTACACTTGCCTAGCCAAGAGAAAGCTATAAGATGGTAACGTGAGGTCTAATACAGTAGTAATTCAATGTGCTTTCACACTAGAAGGTGATGGATACATTATTCTTGTATAGGTGTGTGCTATACTCTTTGACCAAGACCAAGACCTAGTGTGCTGAATTAAGCTAAAAGATTTTGTATCCTGAGCAAGATTCAGATAATGTCTGTAACCTTACTTAATTTTGCAGGAAAGGAAAACCCATAGGCAAATATCCAGAGATGGATATTTCATGGGGACTGTGCAAGAGAAAGATTTGTGAGTACAGGGACAACTGTAGGAAAGGATCAGTGTACGGGGGAGTGTTTCAGGGAAAGGAAGTGTGACGCTGGCTGGCCTGAGTTCTGAAACATATACCCCCAACATGAGCGAGATAATTTAAGTGCATTCGGTCTGCCTCAGCCAAGGGGAAAATTAGAGAATGTCTTGATCTACTTTCCAGCTCCTTGTTTCTATGATGTATATATTCAATATCATTTGTAGCTCTATGGGATGTCAATTTCATGGTCAAGTTAATCTGTTGTTACACCTCTTCTCTCCTTGAAGTAAGGGTGGGCAGTCTTTTCAGGACAGATCCTCAGTCTGTGAGGACCATCACAAGAGCCTGGCAGTCAGTGGAATTACAGAGGCTGATACCTGCTGAGTTATCTAGCACAGCCGCTAAATACAAAACAATGGACAGATGCAATTTCTCTTGCCTAAATCCATTTTTGAAGTTACTAAACTTATGCCATGGATAAAATGTCTGCACGCATTACAGCCATTTCTCTCTGCCTTTTCCAGTCACTGTCTAGCCTAATTTTTCAATCAAAATAATTACAAGCAAAACAATAACAAGCTCTCTGGGCCAATTTCTCTGCTTTCTCAAACCTTATTACCTACAAACAATGTCCAAGCAAAACCCAAATCAGCGCAATATGGGTATAAAATGTTTTGAGTTAAAAATAGCAGCATTTCACTTCTTTTTGCAGAAAAGAGCTACTATGAAGGAACAATCAATTTGAGAAGCTATTTGAAGTCCGTACTATGACACATTATTAGCAAAAGGTGAACCCAGCAAGTCATAGTAAGGATGAGCTTAATCCATAGTATAAGGATATGCTACCACCTTATGCATCTTATGCCTTTTGACTACAGCATTCTGTGTATAATTATTTTGATCCAAGAATCTGTACCTGCAGGGCAAAATAAATGACTGACAGAAATATTTATTAGCCATATAATTTCGTTACAGTTCCTTTAACTATAGTATAAAGCTATCTGATTAATTAAGACAGAATAGAATTTTCTATATTACGGTTCATTTAAACTATGCCGAGTTGCATTAAGGCATGATCTACATTCAGAGCCCCTAAAGAGAAGCGAAGAGATACAATCAGCAGAAATTACACTGGAAGTATTTAATGTAAATTGTATTACTCTGTTGCTGTTGCTGCATGCAATATTAATTATGTTTAGAAATAAGTTTTACTAAACTGCTCATAGCCCATTAAATATTAATCATGAATATAGAAATTAACCTCTGGGGCTATCAATGGCTAATTAGCCAGGGCAGAGTACTGTGTTAATGTGGATATTCTGCTTTTGGTACCTGAGATAGCTCAGTCAGAGCTGGCTTATGCGTGTCTGTATAATGCTGCACTGAGCCATGCAGACATGCCTCAGCATGGCAGGCAAAAAAAGTGCTATTAGCAGAGTAACTGGTCTTACAAAGTTCTCTTCCACTATATTTTATCATAATCTGTAGATCTTTGAAAACAAAAATAGCTCTAAATTCTACTAGGACTACTTTTAATGTTACGTTTCTGTGTCCTTAAGTGTAATGTTCAAAAGAAAATGCTTTAATATTTGAGGCAAAACTGAAATCCTCTCCAGTTGGACACCATTTTCCATCTGTGGTTCAGTATAAATTCTGGGAAATGCATACTAGAAAAGTCTATTCTGTCTCAGTTAGACTATACCACACTACAGCTGTAAGTACAAAACTCTCTTGATCTGAAGTTCAGTGTTTATACACATCACTTCCGTAGCTGAAAGAAGGAACATATCATATTTAAGACTTTTGAAATAAAAACGTGACTATAACACTTCAACAGCTGCTGAGACATAACAAATGTGGAATGCAAAATAAGAATTGAATGGAAAATAAGTAAACTGGCCATTAAATGTAAAGCAGAAAGTTTTCATTCACTAGGATTCCTTGGGCATCTATTCAATTCCCTGGAAATGATGCAAGCTAGAGTTAGCGTGGTCTGAAGTGGTATATACTGTAATCCCAACGTAGGGGACAGTGCCTATGAAGGGTCCAGCTGGTTGCACGTGATCAGCTCACGCTTAATGCAGGCTGATAACACTGAATGAAGATCGAAATCTTACAGCAGGAAGCAAAGGAGGACATGGGTACCTTTTGCTCATGAAGCTAGCAGAAGCTAGCAGGAAATGGGAAATTTGGAGTCTAGATTCTCCTGCTGCAAACTTGCCTGAGGAGCAGAAACAAGTAGCACATACACAAGAACTTAGACAACCACGAAGAAAAGAATGGGACCAGAGGGGAATCAGCAAAAAGCTGAGCCTTTAGTCGAACAAGAGGTATGTTCGCTTGAGGATGCATCCTGAGCTCTGCTCTCTCTTCCTAGATGTCCATGCCTTAAAGAACACTTGAATAAAATGTATGAACATCCTCACAATAGGAACCAGAACCCAGGATTCATAAATATCAGAGGCATCTACTGTGCAGCACTGAGTTCATGCTCTCGTCTGTGCTCTCTTACATTTTTCTACCAAATGACTAATTTGTCCTACACTAGTGAGAAGAAGGATTTAACCACACTACAGAAGTTTCCCAGGTTTTTCAAAAATCATGGGAAGAAGATGTCTCCTGGAGGTCCACAGAACCACTCTTCACAGTTTGCCCCTCTCTTTATTGACTATGCACAGAACCTGAGCACCTATGGTAGGAGGCCCAAACCGTATACCAATCACTTCCTAAGCATGCATTGCAACAGATGAGCAAAGAGCTCAAGAGCAGACCATATGGCCCCTAAGCAATCTGCCCAAAATCATGTAAGAAGCATTCAGTATAACCAAGAGTAAATGCAGGTACACATGAGCTTCTCCCTGTTTCTTTGGCTATGTTTCCTTTCTTAAAATTCTTCATGTAAATTTATCCTGAATTACAACAAAGAACAAAAAAATTACATTACTGTGCTGGAATTCAGCCTGAAGAATAGCCAGAATATGGACAAAACCCACATGATTTTTTAAAAGAATAAATCCAGTTCCTTTTAAAAGGTATTTATTTGTTGCTCTTTTACAAGGACAGAATATCACTATGATCTATTCTATTTCAGTGGTTAGTGAACTGCAAAACAGAGTAATTACACTGGTTAAAGTCTATGGGAGCATGAAAAACAATATATTAAAAACAGACCAGTTCCTATTTTGCATATCTGTTCTTAATTGGAGCAGTATACACTTCTTCTGAAGTATATCAAACTCAATATCAAAGTGATTATATAACAAACTCACTACCTTCTTCCATTTATAAAAAGTGATTATTGATATTGAGAAATTCTAACTATATTGTTTGTAGCAAAATACTGAAAAAGTGCAAAGGAAAATCTTGCCCAAAAGCAGTATGTTTTTGTTTTTTTCACGTTCCTTGCACCTTGAGAAGCAGGTTCAGTTAACAAATTCTATCTTTAAAAGCTGATGTTTCCAATACTCTGAGAAATTTTGACAGCAGGTCAAAAATTATTGAAAAGAAATGTTTTATGGAGGGACCTACAACGTAGCCAAAGTAGCAAAGCAAACATTATTCTGGCAACATCTGAGACTACCAGAGGAGCATGAGGAAAAAAAAAAAAAAAAAGGTATTATCAGGGTTCAGCTCCTGCTTCCAAACATGCAGCTGAATGTCCTCCTTCTCTTTGAGAAACCACCTGAGATGAGAATCCCCTCAGACTCCTAGACGTGGGGGATGGAAAACTGAACCTTTATTCTCAGGAGCTGGTACTAATCATGCTGAGTTGTCTTCAGTCTACATAACCAGCCAACTACCATACCACGCCTGTACCAAACAAGCACTGCAACAAGTGTGCCAACATCAACAAGATCATCTCTGACCAGGTGCTGACAGCTTGTACTCTACCAGTGATGTCAAGATCTGCATCTGTCAGAGAGTTTCCAGATGTTAACAGGGTTTCTAGATCACAGGAGCAGAGTGGCCCTTCCTGGCAGTGAAGTTTCCCCAGCCTGATAACCACAGTATAAGGTAGGAATATAAATGCAATGAACTGTCCACACTACAAGCGTCATGAAAGAAAAACAGAATTTAGGCTGCCTACAAAAATAATGAAAAAAACAAAGGTTAAATAGCTGTGTGAGTACTGAACTACTTCATCACATGGTTAGAGACAGTGTTCCTGTAAAGAAACAGACTTACTTCTGCTTTCCATGTCTTGCAGATAAGACATCTTTTTTTATACTATGCACTATATCTATATGTGTTGTCAATATATTCCAAACCTGGCTACCAGAAAGTATAAGAAATCAAATATTATTAAGCATATGAAAAACATCTGCATTTCTCTGTCTATGAGGAAAAACAGTTAGCATGACAGTATCAGGAAATCTGAATTAAAATTAGAAGATAATTAAGAACTCCATTTAAAAAAATCATATCTATAGTAACCCTTCAAAACCTGACATGCAAAATGTTTAACAACTAAAAAAGTTAAAAGCAAGCGATCTTTAGAATGAACATATGAACGCAAATAATATTTTTCCTTGGCTGGAATGGAAACTTACCTCTTCATATACTTTCTTGGCATTGCTGTTATCTCCTATCAAGAGGTAACCAACACCAAGGTCATTCTTGAATGAAGTATCACTGGGAAACAGATGAACTAACTTCTGTAGAGTAACCAGGGAACCCCTCATGCGACCTAATTTGATTGAACAAGACTTAATAACAACTCCAGGTATGAGTAACAGTAGTAAGACATTTACACAACATGTAAGAACACACAAATCAGAGCCAGGTGTTCCACTTTCACTAACAATCAAGAAGCAGAATTTGAGAAAAACTTGTGCACATAGGAGCATATTCAGCTGCTTGGTTGTCACTGGGGGTGTAGCCGTACAAAGAATATTTCAGGAGAACCTGATACTACGAATGCGTATCATGCAGTGTTATGGTAGCCTCTAGTGGAGAGCCGTTCACAGTGTAGCAGTAACAACATTATTTAAGCTTTGGCTGCTCTTTCATACACAGATGTCAAAGTGCTCGACAAAACTAGGTAAACATACAAAATAAACTTAGTCTTAGTTGATTAAGTAATTTAACACATTTCTAGTGTTAAGCAATAGTTCTACTATATTTCCATTATGAAATTAATCATGCTTTACGTGCTTAAAATTAAGTACGTTCCTCAACTTCCTAGATGAGGTCTTGCTGAGGAACAGCAAGATTAAAACAAGTTGATATTAAAATCCAACCCATGGGAGAAGAACTCTTTTCTCCACCAAAGTTGACTGTGCCTTATATTCTAATTAGCACTTCTCGTACATCACAGAATTGAGATCTAAACTTTCAGATGTTACCCCCAAGTTTAATTCCATTCTTCTCTATGTTTACTGAAGGTTTATTCTGGGTGTGTTTACTCTGTGTATGCCATTAATTTCCTCATGATTTCCCTCAGTTTCAGTAGAAAAAGAACAACATTTTCTTCTTTCTCTGTCAATAAAAATTTTTGACCACCACCCGTCATAGCTTCTTATAGCACCTAGTGCACTGTTGCCTACAAGCACTATTATCATGTGCCTACAGGCACAAGCAATTATATACACTAGTTCCATAGAAAAATTTTAAAGAATTTAAAAATAGTTTTCATAAACATTTAAGAGATTAGGAACACAAGTCCTACCAAAAATTCAATGGAATTGGCACTTTCAAGTCCTTAGTGATCTTCTGAAAGTCTTGCTTACACAACTTTCACAATTTTTACACCGCCCTCAAACCTTACCAAGAAACTGTTGCCTGTCTGCTTCTCGTTTCAAGCTCAGTTTTATCAGATCTGAAGGGACATTTGGCAGACTAACCACCTCATCATAGGTGTTGATAGCTTTTTGCAGCATCTCATTACTTCTCATTTTCTCAGCTAAGTCATCTTCAGACTAGAAAGAATCACAAAATCATTATTAGAACACGTAATAATCCATTAGTCTTAAAAATAACTTTGTTTTCTTAAAAGGCAAACTACGCAACTGTTAGACTATGGGAATAATTTTAGAATTATCTTTAATCTATATAATTTTGGCAAAACAATGGAAAACTTATTTGGTTGAGTGTTATGGTAAGGCAGATTAGAATTACTGTTGATTCTTGTTTCCTGCAAACTGTCTGAAAGCATAAGTATGAGAAAATTTGCACCTAAAACATACATTCACACAGATTTTCAGTTAGTATTTGTAGAAGTCATAATTTCTGCTTTCGAAAACAAATGAAGCAATCCGTTTTAATAATATGGAAGAAATGTAAATTGTTGCCTATGGATTATTTGTATACTAAGCCTCACACTGGCAGCAATACACAGGTCAAAACACACCAACAAATATTTCTTTCATATATTCTGACACAAATTTATTGCACTCTTAGAAAACTGATTAGGAATTGGCTTTACTTTTGCAAATGTTGATAGAATATCTACCATACACAACTCTTTCAGAACTTAAATTTGTTCATCAAGTTCAGGAGCAGACCAAAGGATATATGAGATGTCTACTGTGAAATTACAGCTTCAGTGAAGCTAATGGAAGCTACGACTGATTTCACCTGTGGTGTGGCATTTTCATAATTTGTTTCCACAGCTAAAAAAAATAAGACTGTATCTCAAATGCTGAATTTTTAAAGCATTACTTTGAATCGTTTATACAAATGCATGCATTGTCATGTGTTTAATGCATTATTCCCAAATACTTCTATTTTTATTGGCTTATGTTCTTTCTTAAGTCAATTAGTGGAGTAAGGTGCAGGTGCATCACAAGCACTGCAGGTGCAGAAGCTCTTATCGGTCTATCTATATTCACTGTTGTATCATCATACACATTAAATGAAACAGCTTCAACTGTGTTAGCTGTATATGCTGTAGTAAATATCTAGAATCTTTTCACTTCTGTCCATTACTTTTTTCCTTGAGCTACTTTGAAATTGAGTATGGGAAATACCAAACAACATGGTTACTCAGCCAAACAGTTGATCAGCCAGTTTTTAGAGATAACTTCAGGAATCAGTTTTAAGCGGTAATTTATTTTTCTGTTGTACATTCACTAGGAAATTTGTTTTTCCTTTTTTTGAGGGAATTGCAGGGCAAAGAATTAAAAGATACATAAGGAAGAGACAAAAATTGTCAGCATAAAATCTGCATAAATTCACCAGTACAGATGCTATAAATCATATAAGGAGCTTTAAGACCTCTCTACTGTTCCTTTCAGCCTTAAAGGCATTAACGATTTCTGTAGAATATTTTTCATCTGGCCTAAGTGTAGCTCCAGATATCAAATCCAGAATTGCTCACATTTCTGAAAAACACTTTAATTATGAAATCTTCTGCAGAATTGCCTTTTAAAGCTATTAAAAGATCCAGGAAAATTAATCCTCATGTCTTATTAGAAACTGAAGCTACAAAATTAGCATGTAATGTTGGTTCATGGTTCATAGAAATGGAAAAGTACACTCTTGTGGTGAATTCCTGGCCTTTACCCTCACTCTTTTCTGCAGTTTTACCTTTAGTTTGTGATAAGCAATAGCAAATTTGAATGTGTTGTGTTAGTATAAATACCCATTTAACAGTAATACTGTGTTACAATGTAAATCCTAAGAATAATCCATCTGTCAGTGAAGCCCATGATTTTCCCATTCCTTCAAACAGCTTCAACTTATACATACTGGATTCGATAAAATTGTCATTGGTCATATTGAGTGTTCAGTAAAAAGACTAGTATGAGCCTATAAAGGCTACTGTAAATGGAAATGAATTTACAGCTGGCTTCAATGATCTGCCCTCCTCCCTAAAAGCAATGAGCTAATGAGGAGGCAGGAAGCACATTGTCTTAGGTATAATGAGTAGATTCATTAAAAAAAAGGTAAATATTAAAGGTGTAATTTAACAGAGTTAAGTCCATCACCTATATGAACCAAAGTGGTCTCCTACTATAAGAAGGCAAATAGTTCAGCAGACTATTCCTCACATAAAGCACTGAAGTATTTGGTCTACTATGTATCAAGTGCTTGTGTGATAGTTTTTTGGATAATCACAGCTTTGGTTTTAGCATGACTATTATTAACCAAGTGAAAACTGGTTGTGACTCCAATTCAAGTGCCTCATTAATTGTGTAACAGCACAATTCCCTTCTACAGTAAGGGCTTCACTTTGCTCATCTTGATTACCATGAGTTCAAGCAGTCTTTTATTACAACTAGTGCAGTGGGATTATCCTCCTGTTTATGAAAATACAAAAGTATTATGAACGCAGAGCTTATTTTCTGATACTTTATTTTTTTTTTTTTTTGGAGGGGAACACCTGAAACAGAACTTGCTCCACAAGAAAAAGCTAATTAAGCCTCCTTGCCTAAGAATTTGTGTTCTTTATCCTTTAACACTCCCTCTGTAAAAACTCCAAATCCCCTTCCCTATTCCCACTAAGCAAAAAGCAGCATTTGGCCTAGAGCTGACTGATATGTTGATTTACCAGCTGCAGCAAACAGTGTGTAACAGCTAAGTTCTGCCTGTTGTTCCTGCACTGGGACATTAGTTGAGATTTATCTCTTACTGTTCTGACAGTTTTCATGAGATCTACAGGATGTATCTTACTTTTGTGTTATTTACAATACTTCCCACTAGACTAAAGTTAGACAAAAGTAATTGGGGAAGGATCACGGACTGAAACAGATACAATATGACAGATCACATAATTCTTTTTTTCCCTAGGAAACATCCATAAAATTATAAATGAAGTCTGACTGGGGTTTAGAACTCTATTGTTAAAAGAGGTTTAATTTTATCTTTTTTTAACATTTATGGCTTGTCTTTTAGTACCTGTGCTTTCCCGTATCTTGCTCGAGGACTTTGTGGATATTGATTCACTAATGCTTCAAAGGCCCTTAGAGCGTCTTCAACTTTTCCCTGGAAAGTAGAGGTATTTATCAGCAATTCTATCTAATAAAAATGCTGAAGGATGCATGACCTAATAACACATTAGTTTCCCCAATTAAAAAACAAAAACAAAACAAAAAATGCAGACTGAATCAACAGTTTTCACTCATATTTTTGTTGGGATTGCCTGCTTATTTAAGAGAAATTCGTTGTCATTATTATGAAACAATATCATCTACTTTCTTTGGTTAAAATGAATAACATTGTTTTTCTTTTACTCACTTTCCCTTTCTTGACTGGAAAAAATACTGAGATGACAGTAACCTGTCCATATAAAAATGTAAGAATTCTATTGCTAATAACAAAATCCAAACCAAATGTAACACAGAATAGAAAGGAAGTTCTGGACATATGTGGAATCTTCCTCTCTGCATACCTCACCTGATGAACAGTACCATAACTACGTTTTTTCTAGGGGAAATATGGTAGACTTATCCATAGTGTGTGGCTGTTTCCTCCAAATGTTTTGCATAACGATGTCCCTCAGGACACCTCACGTACTCTGTGTGTCTTCCCTGTCGCATACAAAGTCTGAACGTAACTATGGTATTCTCATGATTGATGCTGACTAGCAAGTAAGGATGGAAGCTGAGAAGAACCAGCCGCACTGTTAAATAGGAACTAAGCACTGTCTGGCAAAATTTGGCATCAGATCTTGCTGCCTCCTCCAATTCTTCTTACAGCTTTATAAATACGAGTGGACTATTATACACAACTGTCTTCATACCTTCAAGTATTACATATGTCTGATTTGTTACTAAATTTGTCCTGCTTCCTGCAAGACAGGCATGATTGTCTGCAACTCACCAAGAGACACAGGCAGGAAAAGAGTCAGCCAACTGACCCTATAGGCTCATCGAAAGTTTCTGTTATGCCTTTCTCTGATCAACTAATTGTGTCAGTAACACGAAGCACAGAATTACTTTTTATTTTTGTATTCTAACATGTACACAAGGCTCCTAGTGAAGAGCAGCAGCAGTGGCAGCCTGAGGTTAGAGCTCTCTATGTAGTATACTGCCCTTCAGCCCCATCATAGACCTGCAGGAGCTCTGGGGCTGCATAGATGGCAACGTAAAGCTAAAACTGCACAGTCATTCTTCTGAAAATCAAGAACAATCCTACACCTGCAGTGACTATAATGTTTTTTACTGTACTGTACTGAAAGTAGTGTATCTCATTGCTCAGCCATCTCAAATCCCAGGTACAACAAAGACCTGCAGTTGTTCTCCATGTGCTAGGACTGTCTGTGAGGCATATCAGAATTTTTACAAGATTTACATCCAACACTTAAGGTCTCTCATTTCTAACAGTCACATAGTCTTGCTTCACTATTCAATCTCACATCTGGAAAAGGGACATCTCTGGAAAGGTCTTGTTTTCTGAAACGCTCAAATAAAAGAATAAAATTGGAAATTATCAGAGGAGATGACTGAAGAGTTTTTGTTTACTGTTGTTTGGGGTTTTTTTTGTTTTATTTTCATAGTCAAGTTATTAAATTCAGAACTACCAAGATTGACTGACTGACTGATATTAAGGTCTTGCTGCCACTGGGTAAGAAGCAGGAACATCTGCTTTGTGCTCTAAGCAGCTGTATGGGAACAGAGACCCTCACAGGACACGCACAGAATCCCAACAGAAACAAAGCCTACATCAAAGATTTGCATCTAATGCTCACAAAGCATGTGAACACTTACTGAGAGATCCATATTAACATGCTTACATTATTTAAGTTCTCTGATAATAGTTGACTTCAGTACTCAAATGGACAACAGTGATAGGACAGAACTAACCTGGTTCTGTGTGCTTAATTTAAGCAGTTTTCTTGATGATAGGAATTCAACAGTTAAGCTAAATATTTTCAAGGGTAAAGGTAAGCAAACACACATGAACAGACATACACTTATGACTTCAAAAAAATTTAAAATAAACTATCCAGCAGAAATGAAACTTGAAGGACAAACATGCACTGAATATTTAATTTTAAAAAGTTAATTTCACAGAAAGCAATCTAAAAGTAATTCTCCCTTTTCTAAGTTAATTTTTGTTTTATTCATTTTTGTCCACTGTCTACAGTCCTGAGTGAAACATTCAAAACTTACTTTTTTACGTAGTTTTTCTGCAGCATCTAGTTCAGCTTTAATGGTCTTATCAAACTTGTTTAAGAGCTTTGGTTTCTTCTTCTTTTTAGCTAGAAGAGATTTAAAAACACACAGGTCATTACCTCTTTCATATTTCACAGCAATTGTTTGGAGTAACCTTTAACTAGCGACTAGTACTGTGCTGGTAAAGTGCATGATTTTCAAATAAGGCAGTTTCAACTGAAAAGAAATTAATTTCTTACTTATTACAATCACAAACTCCTGTATGGAAAAGCAATCTTCAAACTGAATACTTTGCAGTCAAGTTTTTGATAAAGCATTTTTCATCTCATAGTCAAGGTTTTTTTTCCAAACGGTTCAACTGATATGGAAGAACAAAGAGAATGGTTATTTTTCCACATTTATATGGTATTGTGAAAAATATCATTACCAGGACATGTAGGTAATTTCTGAAGTTTTGCCTATGTCTACTCGTTTGTCTAAAGCAATTAAAAGAGTTGATAGCCATTATAGTTACTCATGGTAGGAGGGACTCAAAAACTCATGTAGTCCAACTTCCTGCTGAAAACAGGTTCAGCAGTGAAATGTCTGATCAAGACCGCTTTAAGTGATCAAGTTTCCACAGCTTAGCAAACTATCACACAGTAGCAGAGCAGTAGGAGTATGTAGTAAACCAGCCTTGAAGTAGTGTAAAGCAAATTGTGTTTGAAGCAAATTGAAGTAAATTGTGTCAATTTAAACGGCTATTTACTTCATAGCAATTCACTTTTAATGTCTATTTGGTTGCATTAAGTATACTAGACGTTAAAAAAATGCAAATACACTACTGAAAGATATGACAGCAGATAACTGCTTTTATCCCTATTTGCTATAGCTGAACTTTGCTTTTTTTTTCATTAGGAAAAAATCCACCCTTTCTGACACAAGTAAGGGAAATATATATTGGCTGATACAAGTAACTACCAGTTATGTATATCAGTAATTAATAGCACATATTTTTGCTTAAATTACGCATTACTGTTTTTTCCCCCCTCTATGGGCAATAAGTCATTAATAGCATGAAAAGAAGTAAAATTATTATTTCCTTTGTAGAAGTTTAAACAGGGAATGCTGTAACTGGTATGTGTAAAGCTAAACCCAAACACCATACAGCTTAACATCACAAGACTGGTGCAATGCTGTAGCAAGTATTTCGGATAACAAGGTATTGTAACTAGCCATGTTTTATTCTGCTTCCCAAGTCCTCCGGTGCACTGTCAGGAATGACAAGAGCCACCACATGCTACTGGAAGCTGGGCTCATGGTTCATTAAACAATATTTTCTGAGACTCTGATCCTACACAGAGCTTTAGGCAGACAAATCACTTCATCTACATTAAACCTCAGAAAATGACCAATGCCTAAGTTAATACTAAACCAATACTAAACCCATCCAAGTATTAGAGGATCTCATGAGTCTGAGCTGCTTCTGTATGAGAAAAAAAACAAAACCCTTGACTACTTTTGATTCTTTCTGTGTAAGATTTTTACTGTCATATTCAACACTGAACTGAGACAGCTCTGCATGGAGAGAGTTTTTCTTACATTACCTTTATAAACTATTCTGCAGCATTGGTATGCACAGTTAAATAGATGCTATTGCTTTTCAGAGGCAGGGGGGAAACAGAATTTAAGCAGGAGTGAAGCTATCCTACAAAAAAATTCCATTTACTTATTCACAGAGGCCTTATGAAGCTTTAAATATAAAAGTGTATTAAGATCTATAAAGGAAAGGTACTAAAGAAGCAGTGCATTAGGATTATTATATCCCTGTTGATCCTTCTTATAATAGAAGCGACTGTAATTTTCTAAGGCATTAGGTATTGAGAAGTTAAGAAGGAAAAAAACTGTCTGATGTACAGGAGTTTACTCCTTTTTCAGGATAAACCACCGAATAGCATACTTTAACATATTGGTTTTGCTCCCCTAAACACTTTAGGTTTTCATTGTACCCTATGACTTGAAATCACGCATTTATACTCAAGCACACAATAATGCATTTAAGGAATACAGTTATCATGGAACTGAACTCACCAAAGAGATGCTTTGTTTTGGGTTTGGGGTTTTTTTTTTTCTAATATAATAATATGGATGGTTTTCATGTCTTTTGTTCATTCCCCATAGATAATACAGTAGAAATGCATTTGAATTTGTGGCCAATTCCAGTCTTGCTATGTCTTAATTGAATATTATCCATTTCACAGGAAAGCAATGTCTTTACTGCATTTTCATGCAGTTAATGATGATAATGATTAAGTAGCACAGCACTGGCTCTGTTCCAAGTGTTCATACCCCTTGAATCCAGCAAAACTCAGAGAACCAGCTCTCATCATGAAAGCAAGGATCCCTCCACCCCACACCTTGAGTCCATGGTGACTAACAGGTATGGTCAGAAGTTTCTGACATAACGTCACTGGGCCTGAAAAAGACCAATCCATAACGTGCAAAAGGTTTGTTGGGTTTTGTGCTTTTTTTTTTCTTTTCTAAAAATACACCAGCTCAGTTTTTCAAGAAAACATTGCTATTTCTAAGTCCCGGCTTGCTCAACAGCAGGTGTGGATGAACCCAGAAGCATCAGCCCAAGGAGCCAATAAAAGCAAGTGGCCCTGAGGACTTTTTAGGCTGGTTGAGCTCACAGCTGCTACATGAAACTGTCATTTGTTGTTAGCAAGAAAACTGAGGCATGTCAGTTCCTCTGGGTACATGATCTGGGGAGCTTCTAGCCGGACATCACCACCAAACACTTGGCTTGTTACTGTTCTCCAAGTAGGAGACTATACATACAAGAAATGATGTAAACCACAACTAAAATGTCTTCTCAGCTCTTACAGCATGAATGAAAATCTGTATCCAAGACTGGCCAGTTACACAGAAACTGTGTATTCAGTAAGGGAGGACAGCTATTTGTCAGCTTTCTAACTTACAGTATTCACGGGAAGACAGAGTCATTTGGTCCTTCTCAAAACTCAGTAAGCATGGCAACAGCGAGGTTCCTTCGAGGCACAGGAAAGAAACTTTCCCTCCCACCAAGCAACTCTTATTGCCTGTGGGACACTGTTTCCACAATTCCTTTAAGTTTACAAGGAGATGAGACAGAAACAGCTCAGAAGAAAAAGTGAATGAAAATCTTACAAGTCTGTGGCACAAAGATATGACAACTTTCCCCTCATATCTGATGTTGGTGATGTGTTGGAAAAACCTTTTTGCCACCCTCCATTACAAAAAAGTATTATCTTCTCATTTTCAGTACAATTATATATCAGCTCTAGACCAGCAGGAGATCAATATGAAAAGCTGGAAAGGAGCTGTTAACAGAAATATTATTCAGCTGCTAGGCACCAATATAACACAGTAAACAGTATATAACAAGCAATCATTTTCATCTCCCATTCTAGTCCTATGTTAAAGGATTCACCAGGGAGCTTTCAGTGTAACCATCAAGCATTCCTCTATATTAACCAGATAGCCTGCTATCTCCCTGCAGGGGTATTTTAATAAATTATCCATTGCCTTCTTCTAGTGTAATAATCTTTTAGCAGATGTGACCCAATATATTAAATTCAATGTTACAAAGAAGTTAACTTATTTGTTTTCAGGGGGGAAAAAAACATGTAATTTCTTTTCCAATGACTTACAGATTTCACCATGTAGCTGAAGTAATGCACGATCACACAACTGTTAGGATGATTTGTGGTCCAAATCTGGTTGAGCATTAAAATGGTGGTAATTCTTTTATATATCATACTATGGTCTTGCAAGAATAATACTTAGAATTTTCAATAATGGCCTCAGATGTAAGGATAGGCTTTCTATTAGGATTGCTGTCATAGGACTGCTGAAGAGTCCCTCAGAGAAAACAGTTTTCGCTGTCAAAGCAGCAAGCTAGGAAGAAGTCTTATATGAAACTCCATGCTGGTTCTTTCTGTTGTAGAATAAACAATGGCCAGTGACGACAAGCAATCTCATATTTCTCTTCTGTATTAAGATACAGAAGAAAAAAAAAAAACCAAGAAGGAAAATATTTTGGAAGTGGTAATGTATTAAATGTGCAGTAAACTTAATAGCCTGCAGTGTCATCCAATGAAAAATGATGAAATAGCTATTTTATATACCTATTTTGGCATATGAAAACTAAAATACCAGGCATATTTTATGTTTTTATGTTGAAAGGCACCTTGCCATCACCAAAAGCAGTAATAGTCTTTTCTACAAAGGACAGAGAAATACTTTTTGAAAAATAATGAATACACTGCTAGATACTCTTTAGACCACAAGAGCATCACGTGAAAAATAAGTAAAAGTAACCAAATTATTAAAGGTGATTGAATCACTTACTTTTGAAGAATGGTTTAAAAATATTTTGTCTTTAATTGTGCGGAGGGTGGGTGGGGGCAACATTTACATCTGAACAAGCAAGAACAAAGGGCAAAAAGGTAGTGGTAAAGAGTTTGCTACTGGAAGAGGGGTACATACCACTCTGTAAGAAGTGGCTACAGAGATGAAAAGAATAAATTATTTTCTATATCACCATAGTCAGGACAAGGAATAAAAGGCTTAAAATTGCTACAGCAGAAAATTTGACTTGAATGTCTGGAACTAGTATCTCTGAGCAAGCACAGAACATTGCTGAGGATAGCTGGTGGAATTCTAATTACTGGGAATTTGTAAGAACAAGTTGTACAAGCACCTGCCAGGAACAATGCACACAGCTGGTAAAGCCTTTGGTCAACAGACTAGACAAAGCTTCAGTGTCCTATGTAGTCTTATTTTCTACAATTCCTGTAATATACTGCTATATGTCAATGCAATTTAGTGCCAAGACTATAGTTACACAGGGAACTTCCACTTTCTCATTTGTTACTTAAAGAAATTCCCCTAGAAGCTTGCTGTGCCAGTCATCAATGTGATGGAGACTTCTCCTAGCCCTATGCCAGCAACAGAATATTGAAGTTCAAAAATAAATGGATCAGTTGTATATTATCTGATCTAACAATCATGCTTTTATGTTCTGTAGTTTTTGCTAAACCACTAAGCTTCTGGTCATCTCCCT